TTTTTTTTCAAACAAATCAGCTTATTCAAATTTCATTGATTGTCTTGTGAAATTGAATGAAATGTAGAGTTTGTAAATCTTGAGAAAAAAATGTTAGTGATAACTCCAATAATACTAAATACTATAAGGATTTCAACACATATCAGCAAAAAAATTCTAGTTTAAAAAATTTCTGCTTTGATTATCAGTTGTGCCCTCCATAAACATTTATGTTTAGATCCCATTCCTTTCTAACCCTGGGCCCATCTTTTCTCTCTCTCTCTCTCTCTCTATATATATATATATATATATATATATATATAGAGAGAGAGAGAGAGAGAACTCTCATCATCCTAGACAACAAATGAAGGCTCAGTAAAATAAAGAAGGCTCAACTTTTATGAACACACTTGTGTTTCCCAAGGCAGGTGTTTTGCAAACTTTTAGATAGATGTAACATGTGGTTGAGTTATTTTGTTCAAGTATTTGAAGTTTAATTACCACAGTGGTTCTCAACCGGGGTCTACATGGACCCTAGGGGTCCATGTAATATTTCCGGGGGTCCACAGGCAAAACTCAATTGTTGTGTTAGTTAAAAATAGTAATAATAATTATTATTATAATTATAGTAGAATATTTTATTTGTATTAAATTAGTTTTCATTTAAAAATAAAGCTTAATCGTATACTATTTCTTTGATAATTAAAACCTTAAAATTTATATTGGTGAAGAATAGAAAATTGTTCTTATGTCCAATAGCTATGAAGGGGTCCACCAAGATAAAAAAGAAGGGGAAAGGGGTCCATGGGTAAAAAAAAGGTTGAGATCCACTGAATTACCACATGTTTCTGCAAGTGGACAGCAAAGCCTGCTTTACTGCACGGGATAAAAGTCACAGTGGCAGGTAAGGCTATCATTGAGTAGCATGCCACCAACTTTTTTAATATTTGCACACACTTATTCTCAATGTTCAAGTCAGCCTCACTGGAATGTTTGAATCGATAAGAAGCAGGACAAGTGCCAACTCCTTCACTCAGATGCTTTGTTTTTGCAGGAAGAAAAGGCATGCTGCATTGCTTCAGATTGTCTTTGAGTTTGTCTTTGTAAAGCAAGTGTGGCCTTCCAACTGATCAACTAATATATATATATATATATATATATATATATATATATATATATACTGAAAAGGTTAATGGTCAGAGGTGGATAAGACCAGGAAACAGTAGTATTAAAAAATGCTCAAGACACATGTGAAAAATAAAGATAAAAATAAAAATTTAACATGTAGAGCTTTTAAATGAAAAATTAGTAGATCAGTCAGTTTTGCTGCCTTGGTTTCAACCTTTTGGCATCATCAGGCAGTTTGTGTCAATTGATTTCCCAACACTTTATTTTTTTTAAAAATTAATAATGAACGCTAATTGAAATGTATATATTTCTTATCCAGCCTCAAAATTAAGAGGAATTTTTTTGTATGGCCACAACAGTTCATTACTTCGGACCTTTGATTCAAAAGGTTTTTTGATCTAGAAATGTCATTATTGCTAACTTTTTCTATGAAAAATTCTTGGACATTCAGGCCGGTAAATGTTATTTAATACTGTTTATCATAAACAGAGCATTTGCTTAAATACTTGTATCTATAAATAACAACGTTAAACATAAAAATGTCTTTAATAAATAAATTGTCGGACCTTGTCCATTTCTTAATATATGACGTCATTTGTTTACATTTGATACGCCAGAGCAGTTATGAATGTATGAGATTCATGGAAGATTGAAGTTTATAAGCAGTAAATTCGACCTTGTCTGCGAAAGGTTCTTTGTGGTCGAGACGGTTAAGGCACGTCAGCGTAAATGACGGTTCCGTATAGGATGCAGGTTCGAATCTGTCAAAGAACAAATATTTTCTATGAAAATTTCTCGGACATTCAGGCGGTAAATGTTATTTAATACTGTTTATCATAAACAGAGCATTTGCTTAAATACTTGTATCTATAAATAACAACGTTAAACATAAAAATGTCTTTAATAAATAAATTGTCGGACCTTGTCCATTTCTTATATATATATATATATATATATATATATATATATATATATATATATATATATAGATTATATTAGTGGTAGATATACACATACATATACAAAATATATAAATATATATACATACACACATACATATATATTTTTTTGAATAAAAAAATTCCAAGAGGATAGAATCCAGGTAGAACTCAATGTCCACGACAGAGTAAAGATATAATAAAAGGCTTAAACACTAATATTCCATGGTCATAATTTATTCCATTAGAATCGTAAATACAATCCAATTCATCAGACCTACAAATTCGAAAAGAAAACAGCTCCTTCTTCTGAGAAGGTGATTATAGCTATTTTCTCCTCCAGACAGAGTTTAAGGTTTTTGGATTTATTGTTGAAGGCTGATGCTGTTTTCTTTATTTTCTGTAATATTTTTGGTGTAATTTGGTTTTGGGTTTTAATTTCCCATATATGTTTAGAAAGGATTGTGCTGTTTGCATATTTACTATTTGTAAAGGATGTTTTGCATGAATAGTTTCTGTTTCCAGAGTCCTTCAGTTACTCCTATATATATATTTTTATTTGTTATCTGCTGATTTTACTATGGCTTGGTTTATTATATTATTTTGAAAGCAATTACCACTTAAGGGACATTTGTTCTTTGCTATACAAGTGGGTTTAATTTGTGCTGGGGATTTGCTGGTTATTTTTCTGTTATGCTTTTTTATTGTTTGTTTCATGTTCTCAGAGCAACTATAGCAGATTTTTTACTGTTTCTGTTGATTATCTTATGGATTGTGCTTGATGGAGGGAATGTTTGTGTATGAGTTTAATGAATACTTTTCCTACATTTGTTTTTATGTTTTGTTGTAAAGTGAGTTAAACCATTTTATGTTTCTTTTCCTGTTGACATTTTTGTTCTGTGTCATGTGTATGTGAGTGTTGCTGAAAATCCACTATCTTTTAGGACTATTTCATAATATTTTTGACTTTATTGAAGATGGTTTCATTAGAAGAATTCTCAGATAACTTGTAGTTAATTGATTGTGGGATATGCCTGATTATTGTTGGTTGGTGGTTGGAAGATGGGTGTAAGTAAAATAGTTTGTTATTGGATTTTTTATATGATTGATATATCCCTTTTCTTAGGTTGAGGGGGATATCTAGGAAATCTACTTTTAGATTTGTTTTTATATCTATGTCGAACCCCATATTTTAAAAAGTTTTTATTATTACTTTTTAAGTTTTATCTGTTTTTCATTTATTACAGTTTTTTAGGATTATTAGACCAGCATCTCTGTAGAAAGCTATACAATTTTTATTGATTATTTTACTTACTTTGTGCAATAAATATATACCTATAAACTAACAGGTTTCTGCACATTCCAAAACTTCCCATTGTAACACCAAAAGTTCCTTCTTTCTTTAGCCACTCATCTTTGTTGTCAAATAATTGTGATTTTTGGCAGTGCTAAATGATGATTTTTACTTCATTTTTGCTTACTGCCTATCAAATAACCATTAAGATAATACTATTGACCTTGCTAACCATAAGGAGCCACTGACCAGCATATATAGTTGAGACAAAAGACAACACACATGGCCTGAAGATATATATATATATATATATAGGGTGCAATGGGTAAATTGTAACCATTTTATATTTTTAATTTTGTGCATGGGTGTTGCTTGTTTTTTATTTTGTCAACTGTACAGTATAGTAAGGTCAGTTGGACACTGTCTGTGAGAAAAAGAACACTATGACATAATTCACTCTGCGAGAAATTTGGAAATGGCATACTGTACTGCTTGGCATTTGCACTGGTAGCTCCAATACAAACATTTCAGAGTATTTGAGTGTCAATCTGAGGACAGTACAGAGGATTTGGGAAGAGTTGGATGAGTCTAATAGTGATTACAAAGGTATGGCAGCTCAGAAAACTCACTCTGATTGTTCTGATAAGAAAAGAACTCTTGAATTTGTTGGTGAGGGTCTCAGACTGAACATGGAGGCCTACATCAAATGCCTTGAGGAGGTAGTGCTGAACTTTCTCTTATCAAGCTCATGCCCATTTCTAGGAACAAATCAAATAATAAAAGAAAAGATAAACCCACAGAATATCAACTTAAACACTGTTATATACCATACCTATGAAAACTAATGGGTATGTTCAAATCCTCATAAATATGTGTAAGTGGGGGTAATATGCTAAGTAGTCCACCACTAGCAGTGGTTTACCTACTTCACGCTGCTGGCGAGTATTGTATTTTGTTGATGTTATAAAGGTTACCATTTCATTTCCAACCTCCATTTTGGTTATTCCTCATTCAGTAACCCTTTCTAGGTTACAACAAACACACACAAACATATTTACATGCAAAAATGTAAATAGATTGCAGTCTTAAATTTAACCATGGAATGATGTTTGCTTAAAGTCCTTGTTTTGACTTCTGGGAACATTTTTTTTTGTCTACATACATTCCTTCAATATAGGGTGGAAATAATTCTTGATTTTGGTTTCATAGTTTCAGGGCCATTTTTAAAATTTACTTTGATGTTACTGTTCCAAGCGTATAAGAAAAACACTAACTAAAATTGCCTCTCAAGGGTTAATATTATGAGTGTCATTAAAGAAATGTGAGTTTGATACAAGGGAAATAAATCTGTATTTGATAAAAAGGAAAAAAATGAAACGCTAAAATGGACAATGCCTGGATTTAGAATGCCTTTTTACAAGATTAGAAAGCAAGCAAGTTCTCTTATTAAAAGATTAGCACATTGCCGTCCGTCTGTATCCAATGTATAACTGTGCCAGTTTATATGAGGCTCGCTTAATGTTGGACAAGCTGAGTTTGACTCACACCCAGTGAGGATCGAGAACTCATTACTCAGTCGTAATCCAAGACAGTTTTATAAAAGAAGCTAACCTGGGTTATCTCCCCTAGCGTGTCTTTTTTAAACACATGTTCCAATCAAAATGGCAGCGCCTTGTATCAAAGTTTCTCAATCCAGATTCGCCGCCCTTCGAATCGACAATGACAGTGATGAAGAGGTGAAGAAACCAGTGAAAAACAATACTCATTCCACCCAACAACAACCTAAAAAGAAAGTAAAGAAGAAGAAGGTCGTGTCTAATGAAACTGCTGAGGTGAGAAGTTGGAAATTACCAAGAACGGGGCGGTCACGAAGTCGGGGGCCAAAAAGATCTTTCCTCGATGAAAAATGATTTTAAAAAGGCAAGAGAAAGAAAACAAAAGGAATTTTATTTTAAAAGAAAGGGAAGGAAAATAAGAACGAAGTAAATAAACTTTAGGTTTCAAAAGTAAGGTCTTTTAGCGGAGCATCTTCTCTTTCAAGTAAATGATATATATTTAATTTCGTTATATTGACATTTGACAAATAATTCAGAAAGATTTCCTAAAAAACATAGGGACTTTGATAATGTTTGTTCTATTTTTCTATTCAAAATAAAAAGGATTACATCTGCAACTCTGTTTTTTCTTCCTTTCTAGAAGAAAAATAATTCTAAGTTACCATTTCGGAGTTGAATTATTTCTATTCTTATTGATACTTCTTTTGTCTTAGTTATGTAAATTAAAAGTTGTCAGCTTTTTTTATACAAAAAGCCTGATAAACTTTTTCTTGCTTGAAACATGAAAACAAAATCATTTTTTAAAGAAAAAAAAAACTAAGCTACAGAAATCATGATTTTTTTTTTTATGTATTAAAAAATATATTTCCATATTAAAAATATCGATTGTAATTTTAATTTGTACAAAAGAAGTTAGGCGTTGATTTCATCTTGTGATTTCTTTTAAGTTTGATTTTTATAAAACTAAAAGGAAAAGGCAAAGTTTCGCCAGTGTTTTTAATTTTAAAAGCATTTTATGATCTCAGAAGTAATGGGAATGAAAAACAGCTATTTAATTTTTTCCTTAAACGAGAAAATACTCCAAACTTGGAAACATGGTTTCATTTTCCAAACAAAAATTTAAATATGGTATTTTAATCATGGGTCTTGAAATTGTATTCTTTCACTTGTTTGTTGTCAGCGGTTTTATTACAAAATTTATTCATTCGTGAAAAAAAGATGACGTCAAAAGTAAATAATTGAAAAAAAAAAATTGTAATCTGAAATTGGTTCAATAAAGTAAGAAAACCATTGTATATGAAATTTAATTTCTATTAAAAATTTAAATTAGTTTTTTTTTAATATTGTTTTATTTTCACAAAGTAAAACTAAAAACATGTCACCAACTTTCACAAAATTAGCATTAAAAAAGAAAAACTGCATTGGATTTATCCTCTTGGTTTTAAAATATTTTTTTTTTATTTTTATTATCTTTTGAATTTCTTACATTTTTTTTTTTTTTTAGTCTCGATATCGTTTTCTTCTGTTTATTTTTTTTAGTGAAAACAAAAACGTTTATAACTGTATGTTCCCAGTGTTTACTCAGTAAACACTGGGAACTTTACTGTTTACAGTTTACTTGTTAAAAGCACACAAAACCTTTGACAACTTGGCAAAAATGCCTTCAGACAAATGACAGGGATTTAATTTTCATATTGAATAAGAAAGTTCAGTTTTAAACTTGGTGCTGTATTCTGCATACTACAACATGTGTTGCATGAATTCGCATTGTCTTTTTAGACTAAAATGGAATAGGAGGCGTGCAGAAAATACTGTAACGTTTCAAGCAATTTTTTTGCATCCATAACTTGTTCAATGAGGCTAATAAAAAGAAGTCCCTCAAAAAAAATTCTATTTGATCAGATCTTGGAAAGTGGGATGGGCAAAAATTTCAGGTAAAAAAAACCCTTAAAAACACATTTGTCTTTTTTTTGTAAGATTTTTTAGCTCTATTTAAAATGACAATAGCCTAAAGATAATCTGTAGAAGAAGAAACATAATTTTATGCATTTCAATAAGGTTTTAAGGCACTATTAAACATTGTCATAATCAATTTATCATTGATCTGCCATTTCAATTAAAAAATGATGACCAAAAATTTAAGTGACTTTAAAAATCAAATATCTGTCCTAGATATTAGTCTAAAAAAAAAAAGGTATAATTAATGATTAACAGATTTTTTTGAAAAAAAATTTTACAATATTTTAAAATATAGTGAAAAACACATTTGAGCACAGCCAAGTATATTCCACTTGTCAACAAGTCCATAGACTGTGATCTCTGAAACACCCACTTTTACGAAAAAAAAAAATCACTGCCTCAAATTTAATTAAATATAAAAGCCTAAAACTGTCAAAATACAAAAACTGGCTTCATTTATGTATAAAAATAAATAATAATGTTTAACTTTCTATAACTAAGGTAAGAATATATTTTTATTCTATAAATAAAATTATTTCTTTATGAAACAATAGAATATTTTTTTATATTAGGAATATTAAAATATTTTTTTAAAATAATAAAATGAAGTAATATTTCTATGCCCCTGCATTTATTCTTTCTCCTTTTAACTATTTTGTATTTATGTATATATATCTGTTTATTATTTTTTAATTATCTGATGTCATGAAATTTTTAACTTCACCAAATTAAGTATTTTTAAGAAAATTTATTAAACAAAAAGTGTTGCTATAAAAGGCAAAAAATGAACTGAAAATTGATAAGGACTTATTGATACTGTTTATTCATTACCTTCACTTTGCTTTCTTTCAGCTATGAGAGTCAAAGTATTCTAGAGACTTCCAGATTGACATAATTATTAACATTATAGAACTAATAGGGAGTAACTTCAGAATTGTTGAATTATTTCCTCTTTGGTCTTCTGTACAATAAATAAAATTCTTTTAAAATATTTCTGATGTGAAAAGGGCATTAAACTTAACATTTTTCAATTCTTCAAACATATTTATTTAATAAAAAAATATCTTTTGTCATCAGCAACTGAAAGAATTTCAAAATTATACAGAAAAATAAATATTCGTTGTAGATTTGTTTTCCGTGTCAAATCTAAAAGAAATTAATATTTTATTAAATTATACAAGCACAAACCCAACAAAAATTATTTTTTGAATTTTATTGAATTATATTTGTAAGGTTTCAGGACAAATTTTCTAGATTTTTTTATCTAATGTTGCAAACATTTTTGTTACTTAGGGATTTTTCTTTATAAAACTATAAAAAAATGTCATACTCTGGCCCCCAATTTTAAAAGTATTTATGATGTATCAAAATGGGGGTAATGGATCCCCCCCACAACTTTCAAAAATATCTCTACAAATTGGATTATTCCCTGATTTTTGGTAATTTTTCTTTTCTTTTCGTTTTTTTACATTTTGGAAAAAACATAACTATAGGATGCCTTTTGAAAAAATTCTATTTAGTTAGATCTTAGAAAATGGGTCAGACCAAGAACTTTTCAGCACCTTCTCATGGTGAGAGGAAAATAATATAACCTGAAAAGAAATTTTTGTTGGTTTGAATTTCACACAAGGATTTGAATTTGAAAAGACATAGTTTTCTATATTTTTTTGTATTTTCAAAAAGAAGTTGAGGTTACTCAAAGATTCTTTCAGAAAATCTGTTCAGCATCTCTTTTGGTAATTAGAATTTTGAGTAATCTGATTTTTAATCTTCTAGCATCTCTTGATTACTGAAAATTGTTTTGCAGAATATTAAGGAGTTCTTCATTTATGCAGATGGTTAATCTTATGTTAAAAAGGTAATAAATACTAAGTCTTTAATTCTTGTAACTTACAAAAGAGGTCCATAGAGGTAATTTAGTATCATGTCTCTTACCTCCAAGATGATTTCTGAAAGATTGACGTTTTTTCTTAGAAGTGTGTGTATGTGTGTTTGTTTTGTAAGTGTCTCAAAGAAGGACTGTGAAATGCTGTCAATTAATTGGTTAGACATGTTTTTGGAATTAGGTTAATACTGCCGATCACATATGTTATGAAATTAGACCTGTGAAAAGTACTTATCTACTTGAGTAATTCTCAATCCAAAAAATGATATAAAATGAATAAAAAAATATAAAGATATATTTGCTTCTTTGATAATAGACATAATTTTTGTTTTAAAGATCAGAAAAATATTGAAAAATGCATAACAATATCTCAGACAAGATAGATTTTCCTAACAGAAATTTAGTTGATATTTGGTGTTAAATTCTCTAGTTCAAGAGTTGTTTGGACTGTACATATTTGTTATGCTGATAATTTTCATTAACTAAATGTTTAAACCTATTTATTCTACACCCTTTTTCAGGTATATAATCTCTAAGAAAAAATTAAGATTTGTTTGTTTTTTTCAGTTCAGCTTAAATGCAGCAATAGGCAATTTGTTCCAGTTTCAGTAATTTATATAATACAGATGATTCCATATTTATACACAGAGACAGCCTTCAGTTTTCCAGCTGAGCAAAGAAAAATTCATTGGCCTGATTTTTCAGGCACTTTGTATAGCGATATTTATTCTGTAAAATATACAGAAATGTGGCACAAGGCCGAAATGGGGGAATGGGAAAGGACGGTCTTCTTCTGTCTTAATTATAACTTAGCTAGCCGCAAACACTGACCCAATTGTACGAACAATATTCCTTACACCAAAACAACATATTAATACGTACCTTTCTAACTACAAACGCCATAATACCTCATCGTCTATATGAAAAAAATAACTAATCCCCATATATACAATTCAGTGTCTGTGTGGGGAGGGGAATAAAACAATAATTCTAAAAATTAACCCCAATGAGTATTTACAATATGAATACAAATCTACAAGAAACTAAAGAAAATATTATTAGTAATAACCCCCCCTCCCACTTAAATTTTCTTACTCTTCTGCCTTGTTCTTTATAATTTGTTCTCCATCCCAAAAAGGATAATGTAAACTTTTCTCCTAAATATGGTCAATTATATCAAACTTTCTATTTTGCCTTTGAATATGACTTTCAGAGTGCAGCCAATTTTGCCCTTTTATTCTTTTCCATATTTACATAAGTCATAAGTTGTTATTAATACAATCTACTCAAAATTATAGGAGTCTGATCTATATTGCTTTTATATTTTATAACTCAGTATTGTACTTTGATATCAACAATCAAATTGTCACAGTCAAGCTTATCAGCAGAATGGTTTTGTAAATCACTGTTTGATGCATACTTTTCAAAAAGCTTATTTTAATCCCTTCTTGGTTGAGTTTAGAAATTTTCAGCAGAAAATTTTTCCCTTATACACATTGCATGGAAGAATTCCTAACATCAAATGTAAATTTCTGGGATGAAGAGTTATTATTTACATTATAGACTATTAGCCTCATCTTTGATTTTATTATCACAAAGTTTTGGCCATTGTACACTCTGGCTGAAATGCTCTAATAATAACAAAGATGAGGACAATAATCCACATGTAAATGTGAAAATAAAAATTATTCATATTCACTAAATTACAAATAATGCTAGACAATTTTTTCAAATAGATATCTTATATTTTAATAATTCCAAAATGGAACTTTTTAATAAAATTTATTTAAGCTTTCTTTTGTGTCCTTTGATTTTCTATTTTATTGCTGATAAAAATCACTGACATTGTGACAAAACTCAATAATGCTTGAAAGTTTCTGGTTTTATCAATGGACATAACAGTGAAAAGAAGAAACCTTAGAGTTTCCTGACAAGGTAATAAGTCAGAATCAGGAAAAGATTTATGAAAAATTTTAAAAATATTGTTGCATTTAATGAAATATTTTGAATTTTTATTCTAGCTAAAACAGCTTGCATTTGGAAAACCAACAAGCAAGACGAAGAAAAGCCAAAACCGAAATAATCAGAATCTGTCTCCATCAGTTACCGACAAGCAGTGGGAAGACTGGAAAAGAGTAGATGAAGAAGTAAGTTTCTTTTGAATTCCTTTTCTATTTTCTACAAACATTGAAAAGATTAAGCAAATAAATAACAGAATACAAAAAGACAACTGTCATAAAGAAAATCATCTGGTTGGTTAATATAAGACATAAGAGCAGTAAACAAGTAAATATTATTCTACAAATATTATTCAGATGAGTATCCTCTTTGTTATTTATAATGTTTTCAATAATTAATGTCTTCTTTGGTCACCTTTTGTATTGTCTGATGTTTTGAAGATTTTTTTTTGTTATTATTACATAAATTATCTAAACTAGTATCCTCATCTCTGTTATTAAAGAACACATTGGTCGTTTTGACCAATGTGTTCTTTAATTATCTTAAGTGTCTCTCACAGATGTGAATGTTGACAAGTATTTTCTTTAATTCATAAACAGAAGTAACATAGTTCATATATCAGCATAACAAAATTTCATACAAAAAAAAGTTGGGTTAGGTTGATAAAAACAACCAAGACAAAGATACTCATCTGAATAATTTGTGTAATGATGAAGGTATTTTATGTTAGAATATTTATCAAAGCAGTACAGAAGTCATATATATATATATATATATATATATATAAATAAAAGATGGCCCAAAAGTCACCAAGAAATTTCAAAATTTCATAGCTCTTATATTTGTTAACTTTACTTCTCAATACTATAGTATTATATAGAGTAGATATGGGAAATAAATTTAAACAAGTTGAGAAAGATTACATTTTTAAGTAGCATCCATTTTCAGCTTCACAGAACATACCCTTTCTAAGGAATTTTCCATAACAGCGAACAGTATTTCAAACTCTCATGCTTTGATGTTTGTTTGGATGTTGTCCTTCAGCTGTTGGTGAGTTTGGGGTTTGTAGACATAAACCTTTTCTTTGGGATAACTGCATAGTAACAACTCCAGGCTTGTTAGATCTGGGAATGTGGTTGCAGTTAATGCTGCAACCATGAAAAATTATTCTTTTCCCTGAGAAGCTGGACTGTGGCCTTTGTCATATGAACTGTTGCCCTATCTTGTATGGAAACAGGTTGATACATTTAAAAATTTGTTTGAGTAATATCCAAGAGATTTAAACCTGTCAAGACCACCTTTAAGTTGATGCTCTCAAATCTTTGATACTCTCTTATTCACTCAAATATTCCTTCATTGTTAACCAAATGTGGTCTGCTACTTCATGGAAGGTCACGTACTGAACCATTACTCTCAAAACCTGGAGAATCTCTCACCTTTAATGGCAACGATATGCTCGTTGAATTTGAATTACTGATCCTTGGTTTTGGTAGAAAGATTTCATTACTTGTGTTTGGTTTTCAGTTGTGTCTTTTTACATGATTAACTTCCAAAGCCTCCTTTACAAATTACCTTAAAGAAAAATAGAAAATGTTAAACAAAAAAAGTTATTAAAATTTTACTTTTTATTTTATAAAGACTAAACTTTCTTTGTCTTTAATATTTTTAAACCAGTTTAGGCACTCGTTAGTGTTCTTCCACTAGTTGACTGGTAGAATCTCTCATAATTCATCCACTGAGATTTTCGACCTTAAAAATAAAGGCGTATGAGAAAGCATTGAGAAGGGAAGGCCATAATACTGGTTTGTCTTTTTCACCGCCCATCCTCCCTAAGTGCACAATCAGGAGAATGGACGTGATTTGGTTTAAACACCCCCTCCCCCATTCAACATGCAATTGAAAACCAAAATTGGAAAAGTATTCTTTAAGCTGTTAGATAAGCATTTCCCTAGAAATTCTTTCCTAGCTAAGGTGTTTAACAGAAGCAAAGTAAAGCTCAGCTACAGTTGCACAAGTAACTTATTAACCATTATAAAAAGACACAACACCAGATTATTACAGGCAGAAAGAGTTGGTGGGGGGGGGGTAAAAATGAAACTATGCAACTGCAGAGACAGTAATAATTGTCCTTTGGACACTGGGTGCCTGATAGGTGTGGTTTACTCAGAGGAAATCAGTGACTGAAAAAAATTTAGATAAAACAAACATTGGTTGCACAAAGGGCCCATTCAAGAGTAGATATTACAATATTACCTCTTTAGGTTCGAGAGCCATAGAAATGATACAAAATTGGCAAATTGTGTTTGAAGGTTAAAAGAAGTTAATGGCTGAGTCTCACAGATAAAGTGGAAAATCATCAAAAAAATAAAACCAGGCAGAGTCCAAGGAAACTACTGTAAGCTATGCCAAAAGGAAAAATTGACGATCGCAACATACCCAAGTTCAATGACGAACCGCTAAATGAAAGATCGGAGGTGTTATCTAAATGCTGACACCATGACAAATATTTGTTGTGTATGCATGAACCTGGATAAAAATATTTTTTATCCCCCCCCTCCCAAAAAAAACTTTTGGTGTTCGTATATAAAGGTGGTAGAGTAAACTAAAATCTTTCATCCTACCTGCCTGAGGAGACCTAACAGTCGAAACCTGGGTAGCGTGTTAGCTTGAATTTTGGTGTCCCTAATTATATTTTGCTCTACAACACAAATTTTCTGGATTTTGTATTGAACGCTTTTTGGACTGCACCTTCTTAAACACGGCTGTTTACAGCCTCTTTTTACAATATATTTATATTTTATATTGTATTACACACACACACACACACACAGGGTGGGAAGGCAAAACTTGCATAATTTTGGTATTGAAATAAAAAGCCTTTTATTTGATTAATTAGTTTATTTAAATAAATACGAATAGTTCCAACATACACATACAAAACGAAAGAAACATTTTATTCAATATGTCCTCTTTGTTTCTCAATTACTGCCTCCACATGTCCCCTGAAACTTCTACAACTCTTCTCCAAAAAAAACAGAACATCTTGTCCCACTCTTCTCCGATGGTATCCATAAGAACATTAACGTTTGGATAAGAGGTACTATTAGTAGCATGTTCTAAAATGCGCCAAACAGCATAATCTAGAGGGTTGAGATTTGGGCTGGAAGTGGGCCACAAGTGTGATGGTTAAAAATCAGCAAAATTTGATTTGCAGAATTTCTGTACTTTTTAGGCTGTTTAGCCTGAGTCGATATATAGTTTCTCTCTGGGTATTTGGCTTTGAGCCATGGTAATGCATTGTATCTCAGAGTCTTGTAATAGGCATCAGCATTAACTATATCACCAGGTTTGTAAAATTTGATAGGCAATTTTTCCCATCAGAGGCCACAACACCAAAGACCGTAACTTGAGCTGGAGTTCATTTTCTTCAGAAAGTCATTCATTCCTGTAGTTCGCTGCTACTAACAAGCAGGAATTTTTTTCTCCTGATGATGGCCATGCTGGCTGAAACTTGTCGAGGAACCTACTTGAAATAATAAAACAAAAAAAATTAATATATAACCCAGTGTGCCTGAAAATTTTCATTTTTCAATAGTTTTTTATTGTTCAAAATATTACATACATATATATATATATATATATATATATATATATATATATATATATATATATATATATATATCAAGGAAAAGCTTAACACATATCAAAAATACTGTAATAAATCATGATTTACTTTGACCAGTAAGTCTCATCAGACCGAAGATATAAATGGTATAAATTTACAAACAATGGTTTAAATTTATCCAGACCAAAAACTTTTTATAACCTGGATGCTCTCTCTTGGATAAAATTATTGACTTCATAAAAAGACTATGCTAGAAAATACATTTTTATTTAAACCCTTCCAATACAACATTCTGTATAAATAAAAATTATAACTTGAAATTTCAACAGACTCCACTCAGCAGCAAACTCCAGAAATTAAGGATGATGAATTCCAGGTTATATTAGCTTCTAGAAGCAAATATAACCTAGAATTACTAGTTACTCCTGCATAAATAACATCTATAATATTATTAATTCACACAATAATAAAATATTAAATAAATTTTATAACAATAAACAACCATATAGCAAACCCTGTTGTAATTGTAGAATCAAAAACAACTGCCCAGTTGGAGGTATATGCAAATCCAAAAATATTATATACCAAGCAACCATTTACCCTAAAGAAAATGTGAAGAATAAAAAAGTATAAATGGGATCTGAAAGCAGTGACTATATAATCACAAACATTCTTTCTCTGATCCTAATCTAAAACACCAGACAGCTCTTTCTAAATACTTCTGTAAATTAAAGAATAGAAATTTCACCCTACAGATTGAATGGGAGATTATAGGTAAATCTCAAGTGCCCAACAGCTTCAGAAATAGGTGTAACTTGTGCCTAGAAGAAACAATTAGAATAATTAAATTTAAAAATACTACCCAGCTATTAAATCAAAGTGAGATCATATTTAAATGTCATCATGAAAACAAATTTAAATTGTCTTATAAATAGAATTTTATTCTATCTTATTTCATTTTATGTTTATCTGCAGCCATTATATGTTTTTATTAAGAGTAAATTATTGATTTTTTTAATACATATAATTTTATATATATATATATATATATATATATATATATATATATATATATATAGTTTGTCAACAAACAAGTGAAAATTTTAAGCTTCTAATAGATTAAGTTAAGCAACATTGAAAAAGTATTTTTTAGTTGGTCATAAAGATAAGACCATGTGTGCTCATAGCTTCAGGTGGAGATTGACTTAGCTCACTTCCAGCATTAAATCTCAGATTTTAAGATGGCTAAGGGTAAAATGGTATTGGTGTAAGAATTACAATTGGAAAAAATCTTAGTTTTTGCCACCACGTTTCATCTTACGACTTTATCAAGGCAAACAATGAAAGTGAAATGACAACAAAAACATTTCACTTTCATTGTTTCTTATACCAATTTGTCTTATCCACAATTATTCTGGGAAATTTTACTATATTGTCAACATGGAAAACAAAAAAAACAAACTCTTAATATAAAGGAAGTTACCATTAACCAGAAAGAGTCTTATGCATGAACGTCTATCTTTTTTAAATTTTGGATTTAATGTAACTATGACAACAAAAACATTTCGCTTTTATTGTTTGCCTTCATAATGTCGTCGGAAGATGAAATGCGTCAGCAAAAACTAAAATATTTTCCAATTGTCATTCTTATACCACACACACACATACATACATACATATTATATATATATATATATATATATATATATATATAAACATGTTTTTTTTCTCAATTTTTGACCTAAAATTCCTTTCAGAATGTTTGGGCAATGACAATCAGAAACAAATTGTCAGTGGTCAGAAACTAAAGCAATTTAAGCCTATTCGGCAACTAACAGTTGCTTTAGTTTCTGGAAAAATCTTTTTTATTTAAAACCAAAAAAAAATATTCATTTGCAAAAAAAGAATTATTCTTACAATAATCGAATCAAACCTATCCAAACCCTACAAGTTAAAAGTTTTTTGAATCTGTTTCCGTGAAGCTGACAAGAAAAAGTATATAACACATGATTAAACTTTTTAGTTTGACTGAAAGAATAAAAAAAAAAAATTCTCACTAAAAACCCCAAATAAAGCACTTTTAAAATTTATTTTGTTGTCTTCAATTTTTGTAAATTTCTCTTTCTAGTATACTTCGGACATTTATGAAAAGGATTTACAGCAAGCATTACTGTTGAGTAAGTTGGAATTTGAACAGAAAAGTTCAAACAAAGAGGTAAATATATAAATAGATTTTTTTCATTTTTTTTTTTTATATGGGATGTGTTTGAGTGTATAGAATTTGAAATTCACACATGACAAGGTACTGAAAACTTCTTGGCTTAATCCACATTGAATGGCATCTTTGTTTGTCCAAGAACTTGCAGTACTCACTAATTTAATGTGCTAAATATTGTCTGTATCATGGAGTTTTCCAAAAGTGAAAATTCACCTCTTTATGAATGTATAAATAGGCTTGATTTTCCATTTCTGTAAACTTACACAATCTTCCTTCCTTACTCATTTGTGATTGGGTTTTGATATACTCAGCTCCAGGAGGACTGGTATCTCCTTTCCAATTCACTAAAATGAGCGAGATCAGGGTCAATGTCTCTATGGCAGTGTTCCGGGCTCTGGCCTGTTGTCTTTGGTCAGGATCGATACTGGTATTGGAGAACAAGCCGTCAGCCCACTTGTCGGTCATTGATGGCATTTGACACAGCAGCAACTATGACCTATCTTACCCACGTTGTGATTTTTGATCTTAAGAGAGTCAAGCTGAATTATCACTGGGGTATCTCAACCAAGCTAAACCAAGGAGTTGAATACGCGCACACAAAATTGAAAAATAAAGAGGGCGATGCCTGAATAAGTCACGACATGATGTTTATATCAAACTAACAAAAAAAAAAAATTTACAGTTTTTTTTTTTTTCTTTTTCTTTTCCCAACCTGTTCTAATATTTGGCGATGGAACGAAAATTTCGGGTCACTTCTTTAAGGGTGGCCAGACTTGACAAATGGATTTATCTTCAGGTACTGTGGTTTGTACTTTTTCAGACGGCACAAGGATTTCGTTAGTTTTTCTTCTTCGGCAGATAATTATTATTTTCATTAGGTTGGCAAAACAGCGTTATGGCAGAAATCTCTTAACTCCCCGTCACAACTTCACTCCAACTGCAACTCCAACTAACCCAACTGCAACTGCTTTGGCCCTCGTGGGCTCTTGTATTTATGGGTGTCCCTCCCAACTGGTATGGTGTGGGCGAATAGGTGGGTTTTATGCAAATCTCCTAAAATTCCCTTCCTCTTTCAGGAGGAGCCATTATATGATGTCAGCCTTGCTGACACCATCTTCTGCCTTTACAATTTCTCACAATTATAATTTTTTCTCAGGGAAATTTTGACTGATAATTTTCTCAGCCTGTATGCCTCAGATGCCTTTCAACAGAAGAATTAACCTCTGGCCCCTGAACCTGCCAGCTGTGTTTCGCTGAATCGCATTGTGTAACTTTTTCAACCTGTTCTCAATATCCTGGGGAAATGAATCTCTTTCTGATAAAAAAAAAATAAAATCGTTTTTGTCCATACACCATATTAAATATTGTTACATCTGAAGTATCCCAATAGGGAAGTGCCAGGGGAGACTAATTAGTTCTTGTTACTCATCCTGTGTTAACATGGGATTCCCACTTGTGCCATATTTCATTTAAGTGAATGTCTGGATAGATACGAACTTTAACTTTGCTCTATTTTATTTTATTTTTTTACATTTTATAATCTGCCTGGTGAATCTATTCTAGTGTAATTCTACAAATCCACAGGTAAAATTCAATGTTGTGCATTTAATACTTGAATTAGAAACTGCTTCTGCTGATAATTTTAAAAGTGCTTGGTCTTTTTAAGTTCTAACACTGATAGCAGCAAAACATAGTTATACGAGGAATACAAAGAGTGATGTAAATTCATTAGTTTTAGTGAGGGTTATCTCCAATTAAGTCAAGTCTGTTTTTACTTCAGGTTACTTCTCATTGTCTGACTTGGAAGAAAGCTTTTGAGATAATTTTATTCTATAATCCTTTTTTTACATTACAAAGCTTGGATTGGAGAAATAGAAAGAGAGAATATTTTGTGCCAATTGGACTTTGCCATGTTCTAATCTTTTGGCTATAACTTAAGCTCTGCATTTGGTATATATTTGTTAACAAAATTAGGCAACACTCAACTTCTCATTTCTAACTTTAACATTCTTAAAAGTTCCAATATTTTTGTTTGGGTCTCAGAATTCATGCAGAATTTTGTGAAAATTGACTTTTTACTTTTTTTAATGTTACAATTCTACAAAATATGAATTTGACAATCAATGATTTAAGAATTGATGATTGGAATTATGTTGGATCTTGATTGTTTTAAGGACTGACTGCTAGGCATCATAGCCAGCAATGAAAAACATTTTCTTATAGTTTTGCTGTGAAAACAAGGAATGGAATGAGTGTCAAGATTGTCTGAAATCAAAACTTCTGAGTAACCAAAACCATTGATTTACTGGAAGCAGTGTGCTGAGGTGAAGTGACAATGTAGTAAATTAAGAATTTTTCCCTATGTTGGTGATCTGCTGAAAAGTTGCCTGTAAGGAGTCTGGGGCTGTGATTAGCTGATGACGCACCTGGGAGTAAATAAAACTAATTAAAATTTTTTTTTCTTGTGGGACTAGGGTTTAAGTGTATTTTATTGTATAGCTAATGAGATCAATAAAACTATGAGAGATTATGCTTGTCAAGTGAATATTATGGTATTTTTACTAGCTAAATAGTAGTGATAGACTTTATCATGCTTCCTACAAAACATTCTTAAATGGTGGAACTGTTTTAATGTTCTATTTCAAAACATTCCTGTAGAACAAACTCTAATTTATCTTACTCCCACCTTTTTTGTTTAGCAAACATGCTTTGCTTTTGTGAAATTTTGTCCTATTTCATTTTCTTAATATTTTCTTTGTCTAGAAAAGTGGAAACATTACCGCATCTATCCCCACCCCCGTCACCAACAATAATAGTAGTGGAAATACTAAATCCCAAGCAGCTGAAAACAAGAAAAAAAGAAGAAAAGAGAGAAATACTCCCATTACATTGGAAGAATACAAAAACAGATCCCGCCAAAATGCAAAGGAAAAAAATGGTAAGTGGTGTTTTTTTTTTGTTTTTTGTTTTTCTTTCTTCATGATTTCTGAGAAATGTGCTGCTTTGTATTAATTTTTTATTTATTGTTACTTTGTATATTTTTTATGCTACAAGAAATTTTAAAATTCTTATAAATGTTGAAAATAATTTTAAAAAAATAAATGAATCCTCTGACAATGACAGGTATTTTCATCATTATTGTTGTCATACCTGTTCATCAATGTAGTGGCATGTGGATTCTTATTTGAAAAGATTTCAATGAAAAGGCCAATCTGTTGATAAAAATTATAATTCATAATTTGTTAATCATATCTGAATTGGGTGTATAATTCCCAAATTTTACAGATTATTTGAATTCTTATCTCTATCTTTTTTATTTATTTTTTTATTGCAACTATTTGACCTTTGATTTTTGTCATATCTGTTACAGTTGTTAAATGTTGCCCAGTAATTCATTCCTTGCCTTCTCAACAACAAAAAAGAAACAGTTTTTCATCTGAGCAATCTTGTCTTCTGTGCAGAAGAATTCCGCTTACCTTCAAAAAGCCAATGCCATTGTCTCCATGATCAAAGAAAAACCATGTCAAACTCATTCCATCGTTTATAACAGAAAACAGTTGATGGAATAACCCGAATGTGTGTCTAGCTTTGAGCGCATGTAAAGTCAGTGGCAGTGAACAAGAGGAATGAAGTAGAAAAGCCAATTGCAGGAAGAGTGAATTTGCAACCATTTAGACATGTCTCTGTGAATTTGTGACAGTTTGCTTTATTCTTCACTACATCCTCACACCAAAAAAAATCCTTTTTTTATTGATGATGAAAAGAAGATAACTAGATACAATGTAAACATGAAGAAAGCCAGGGAACATACCAGATAAAAGGCAACAAACTCTTTTGTTTTCTGATTTTCAGTTTACAGCATACAGACTAAATATTAAAACTAATTATGGGACAAAAATTAAAAAATGCAGGACTGATGAAATTTTTCCTTTTCTTCAACTACCCAAAGTAGTTGAATGCAGAAAACAAAATATCACTAGTGGTAAAGTTAATGGGTATCAATGCACAAAGCCAAAATTTTATCTACATCAGTTCAAATTTAGTTCAGACTAAAATAATGATTTTGCTTGTTTCTCCCTCTAACAAGAATTTAGAAATTTGCTGTGTCACTATAGACTAATTTTTGTCATTAATAGATCTGACCTTTGAGAAGGAGATACTTGATTAGCAGACATTTTATGGATTTATATATGTACCAATGTATGTTTATGTAAACATATGTTTTTAATAGCTATTGAATGGAGCAAATATGCTACTGTGAGGTTTAAGAGAAAGAATCCTTGGATGAAAATAGATTCTCAAAGGAAATAAATATCATGGCATGATTTGTGACAAGGCAGTAAGAAATCTAAGCAAAAATACAAAGTTACAAAGATAAAAAATATTTTTAACGATAATGAATGATGTCATGATTTTTGGTTTATGCCAAAATAATTTTCTTTTCCTTTTCTTTCTTTCTTTTTTTTTTTTTTTTTTTTTTTTTAAATCTTAGAAGAGGAAACAGAGGAAACTGAGCCTCCTCCACCAATACAGACAAAAATTTCAGCTGCAGACGGAGACCCCAATTACTTTGAAAATGTCAAAGATGGAGTCCACCGGATTCTGAAAAAAGAAAAAATGCAAGAAGAATATCAGAAGGTCAGGGTTTTAATTGACTTTCTTATTATAACATTGATTGGCATTTGATTGATTACGATTTTTATAAAAATATAACCTTTTATAATTGTTTAAAATATCCAGGCATTTTTGGTGTCATCAAGTAGACTGTTGAAGACTTGTGCCATTCCTTGGGTAATGACTCTGAAACAGGTGTTTGATACATTAGTAGTAGCAATTTTTTACTGTTACTACCTGGGCAAGTAGTTATGGGAAAGTGATTTGTCTGGATGTTCAACCATCCATTCTTTTTCATCAGTCCTGTCATTGATAAGACAGACCAATGCCTGGTGATGGGATAGCACAAGAAAATTTTCATGTTACTTGACATCAATTAGATCACAGCAAAATTGATTTTGAAAAATGTAACTTTTTCATGCACTCATCATTTACTTGTTGGGGAACCACATTGATTCTGGGACTTTTGTTTTGAAAGTCTTTTGATTTCCATTTGTAATAAATCTGAGAAAAAATGATCAAATATTTTTTGATATTAACATGGTTCCAAAAATGTTTTAAGTCTTTTTTTTTGCTTCCTTTATCCTCATTTTAAATATTATCTAAAATTCTATTATACATTGTCATTATTTCATGAGTTATATCCACATTCTTGCTGTTTCTATCATGACATTTTTGGTTGATGTGCATTCTTCACCCTTCCTCAGTTGTCTTAATTCATCTGAAAGATCTTTTATCTCCTGTTATAATTGATTCTAGATTTGAGGATTAAAGATTTCTGCAGACCATGAGCAGATCCATAAGTTTTTCTTTGTTTTGTAGCAATATGCAGTGCAGAGTGTGTTGACTGCTAAACATGCAGAAGAAATGAAACAGAAAGATGAAGAATTAAATCGGTTAAGAGAAAAAGTTAATAGTTTAGAGGTAAGAGCTCTTTTTTCTTTTTTTCTTTTTAATGACATAAATAAAGTCCAGTGACTAAAATCAGAACAAAGAGTAAATTTTTCCAAGCTGCAAAAAATGCAGTTTGCATTTTGTCATTTTTCAAGTCAGAAGTTTACTTTTGGTTCTCATTGAATTCATTTTTAATCTGGTAGGTTATTTTATACTCAAAGTAAACTGCAGTAATTTCCAAAGAACACGGCAGTATATTTTCTGTGCATCAAGAGCCACACTACCATATGCCCTCCTGGAGAGATGAAGTAAGAAAATGGCCTTTTTCAATTTGTTTCTTTTAACAGAGAAAAAATAAAATAAATTCTTTTTACTTCCCATTTTTGGTCTAATCAATCATGTCAGTCAGTTTATTTTTTAAATAATTGAGTCAATTTAGTTATATATTTTGACAGTATTTCAGTTTTAGGCCATTGATTGAACTCATTTTAATAAAACAGGTCACATGACTCCAACATGACTCTTCTAGTGCAATGTTTTTCTTTCTTGTTTCACTCAATTAATTGCAATAAAATGTAAAAAAATATTCATTTTTACTTTCTTGTACTGATTAAAGTATTTCTTTATATATATTTTTTTTTTTTTTTTTTTATAAGGATGAGCTTAAAAAAGTGAAGAAAAGAAATCGGCAATTGGCAATAATTCTTAGTCAAGCAGAAAGTGAGTAAATCACCTACATTATTATTTTTCTTTTGTGTTTTTTTTCTCACATCCAAATCTATAACCTTCTCACTCCTGTTGGAGGATGAAACCTAGTTGACTTCCATCACTTCCTATCTCTGACCATACTGGGTCATTTGGGGGGGTCAAGGTATCAGCTCAGATAAAAAATGTTTTCAAATTAGAAAAAAGAAATTCCCATTCATGAACATGACCAAACTTTCACTCATAGACAAGATAAAAAAAAAGTAGACTGAGTCATGATTTTAAATTTACTTCTTTAAGTAAATTTACATTGAATTTCTTAACTAAGTAAAAACTCTTTAAAGTAAAGGCCATTAAATCTTTAAATGTATGTCTAGTGAGAGATGCTTACGATAGCTATTACTTTGCAGTTTTACAAAGTACTTACTAAGGGTTGATGTGCCATAAAACCTAACAAACCAACCAATCAAAGTCCTTATTAATCATTGCATGACGACAAGGTCACTCTAACTTTTGATTCATAAATTTTTTTTGTAATTTTGTAATTTTAATACATCTTTAACAGTGTTACTTTGGAAGAATAAATTCCACTCATAAATTTTTTTAATATATACAATGGCTACAAAGTATATCTGCAACTTTGCAAAATGTTTTCCTTAATATACAGCTTCAAAATTGACAATTTGGAACAAACATATTGATTCAAAATTGAAGATCAAATCTTTGGTTCAAATTCTGCCAGTTTTGAAATAAAGTTTTTGCAAGTGTGTGTGTATGTATGTGTGTATGTATATATATATATATATATATATATATATATATAGTGGCAGTGGTGGGTACATACTTGTATAAATATAATTTTTTAATTTTAATACTTTTTTCACACATTAAAATGAATAAATAGGATTTATTTCTATTAAATCAATTTTTTTCTGTTTTCTATGCATATTTAGTTATTATGCATCTGTCTACAGTTAATTATATGAAAAGTATGTTTATTCATTAGTTGGAAATACAATAAATTAAAAATTTGCATGTGTATGAATATTTGCTCACCCCCCCACACACACACACACACACTGTGTGTGTGTGTGTAAATATATACATATATTTATATAATGGTGTGTTAAACTGTGTCTAGTTAGGAAATTATTATTCTTAAAACTTGGCAGGTTTTGAAAGAAAAATTTGTTTTGGTCACTTCCTATGGTGTCATTTTTATAAGGTCTGTCTGAAAAGCATCTGACCATTTAATCTTAATGAAAGAATATCATAGTTCCTTTCGGAGTAGCCGTCCCTCGTGATCTCCATACACTTATCCTAGTATTCTTTCTCCTTTTCAAAGCTGTCTGCAATGTGCCTCTTTCAAGTTCGCCATCATCTGTTATTAAATTCTCCTTAATGTTTTCCATTCTCCAAAATATCCTCCTTTTCAATGGTGATTTTAGCTTTGGGAAAATATCAGACATCAGAGGAAGCTAAATCTGAACTGTAAAGAAGCTAAAATACCTGGGTGATGTTATTTGCCTTGAATGGTCACACTATACAAACTCATTTGTTGGCATCACATTGCTTATGGAAGAATGTTCAGACATACTCATTAAGGTTTCATCAGATTATTTGCCAGGTTACATCTAGATTGGTTCTTGTAATATTCAAAATGTCTGTAGACTTCTAGAAAGATTTCATATAAAGATTGTGTAAAACATATTTTCAGATTTCTTTGTAATTATTTATTTCAGAACATCTGTAGAATGTGAAATTTGTAATTCAATTTTGAATCCACTATTTTTTTTTTTCATTCCAGTAAAGGAAAAGTCTGATATTTTAGAACAAGTTGACAACCTGAATAGTGTCAAAGATGAGCTTACAGATCAGGTCAGTTGTCTTTCTTTGTGTCTTATATTAGTGAAGTTGATTTTCTAGACCAGTACTAAAACTATGTAGACTAATATCCTTATCATTTTTTGATGTTTATTTTTATACTAAGATTTATGATACTGATGTCCTGAAATTATAAAATAATAAATTGAGATCAATATCACTATGATTTTTATTTCACTTTTTGTTCAGCTAATCAAAAAAAAAATTATTGGCATTTCCTGATTAAACTTCCTCAGATTTTAAACCTGATATTAAAATAAATTTTCAGAAATTTGTTTAATTTATTGAAAACTAAAAATACCAGAGAAAATTTTCCATGAGCTCAATTTGATACTTGTGCATTGTTTTATCATCAAAATTTTTGAGGTTGAAGTAATTAAGGCAACATATGTAATAGGTGAAGCATCAACTGTTAGTTTAAATCTTTTTTTTTTTTTTTTTAAACTGCTGCTTTATTTTTGTTTTCTCTATTTATTCTGTATACTCAGCATGTAGCCAAGTGGTTAAAATGTTAGCATTGCAACCATGAGATCTAGGTTCAAATCTCACTATGAGTTCATTTGTTAAGGAGGTAGTGTCTTGATGTTATCAGCCTGGGGAGACAATCCCAGCATGCAGCACTATTAGGAAGGGCCTGAAAAACCAAACCACAAAGTAACCCAAGACTGTCAATGAAATTGGGTAGACAAAACTATTCAGAAGCCATTGATAGTTATGCTAGTATGAAGTTACAAGTGATTGTAACCAACAGCTTGAGCCTACTGTCCTTGTTCAACTCCTGATCCTGTCAGATTAGGCACTTTCTCCTAAAGGTCTGTTCAGCATGGTTGCAAAGCTGGTCTCTGTCAGTATTGAAGAAACACAAATATCTCTGAGCAGGTTGTGCAACAGGGAATAGCTGGCCACCCTAGTAAACTCCATAGTTTTCAAGACTGACAGATGTCTACTTACTTTTGTAGTTGAAAAGTGTATCAACCTAAAGATATTGTGATGAAAAATATGACCAGAATGATGTAGAGGTACTGAAAAGTTCCCAGCTTGACCAAGAAGCCCTTAAAAAATCTGTTTGGTTGTTTAGGAAGGGCACATGGCAAGAAATTTTTAGTAACAAAATGGTGAAAATCTTTCATCTAATTTATTTCAAAAAGTAAATTAACAAAAGACCTTTCTCCCTTAAATATGCCACAATCTTTGGTTGAAGATTAATTAAATTTTCAGTTTTATGAAAATGTATAGCCCCTAAACCCAGATTAAAAAAAAAAATGTTATTTGTTTTCTTGATCCTTTTTGTTTTCTTTGATCCTTCAATTCATTTCCATAAGTAAGCACTTAAAATTGGCTGTCATTATTTCTCGGGAGAAATTTGTCTTTTGTCTCCTTCCCCTGACATTTAAAAGAATAGCAATTCAAGATATCTCATAAATGGCCAAGTCAGTGAAAGCAATAATTGTTTGAAACAGCTGATATTATGTCATACCAAAATATCACAGCATCCAAAAATATTCATTTTAAAAATTCATAAATAAGTAAAGCTAATTTTTATTGCTATTTGTTATATTCTCGTCCCAGTTATGGGTTAAATATTAGGGCTTGCATCTGGAAAAAATCATTGTTATTCTCAAAAAATTATAATTCACTCACAAAAAAAGAATTATTTTTACAATCCAAAATATATTTGGTCTTTAAATAACCCACAGAGGGGGGGTTGGTAAGCCGTAAGCAAAAAACAAACCAAACAATTATATTCACATAATGTGCAAAGATTTTTCTATTTTCAATAAATTCTTTACAAGATTTTACTTTAATTGTAAACTTTTGATATAGAAAAAATTATGACAACATATTTTGCCACAGTTGTTTCTCCATAGTTGCATCCTAACATTTACCAGAGTAAATTTCTTATTGAACTGTAATTCCCTCTGGGTGATTGTTTTTCTGTTTATTGTAATGCATGCATATTTGCTTATTTTTTTTTTTGCTTTGCTTTTGTATCAAGATTTTTCTCTTTTTGCTCTTTTTTTCATCTGGAATGAAATTGAGTAAAATGTTCAAATATTTTATGTTTGCAGTGTATTATTTTTAAATAGGATGTGCAAAAAACAATATAGCAATGATCCAAGTTGTTTATTGTAACCTTTTGTTATTTTAAGTTGATTTTTTTCAGTCTTACTTTAATAAAAGCTGTTTTTTAAATTTTTTTTTTTCCTGGCTTCAGGTGATCAAATTAACACAAGATTTGGAACAGGAAAAATCCAAAGTCCATAATTACAAAGCTGAATTAGACAAGTTAAAAGTAGGTATATTTTTATATATATTAGTCACCTTTTACTTTAGGAACTTTGGTCTGAAATTAAAATCTTTACTTTCTAAATAATTCATTTTTATGCCTAACAATCAAAAGTTAATTTTTCTAATGGAATGTTTCTTTTTGCAAGTTTTAATTTTTTGAGAAACTTGAAGCCCTTTCTAGCATTATATTGGATTTGGTAACCTCTAAGAGAATTATGTAGAAGACATTTAACAAGGAATCTTTATAGGAAAAATATATTAATAAATATAATTTGAAACTATTTGTTGTACAGATGAAGCTTTCAGACTCCAAATCCATTCATTGGACACTAGAAATATTTGTATAGTTTATTTTTATGCATCATATTGGAAGACCAATAAATAGAAATAGTAGAATGTCACCTTTTTAATAAATTTTGGCTGTTTTTCTTTTTCTTCTTTTTCCTAATTTTCTTTAATCTGATAATTTCATAGAATTCATTAACTTTGATCCATACAGGATATCTTTTTTAAGATTAATATTTTTAATTTTGGTTAGTTAAATGCCATCTGACCATTAAAGTAAGCAAAATGAATGAGAATAAAATTAACCTCCAAGTCAAAATTAAGCCACATAAAAAAAGGGTCATAGAATAGGAAATGCAATTTCAAATCTCCTTTCCAGATTAGGTCATTCTAATTTGGACTGCCAGGGAAATTTTGTTATGAAGATTGTCATGATAAAAGCAAAAATAAGATAAGATATGACTAGTCAAACATAATTACATTATTAATTTGGAATTCTTTAGAAAATGTTTATATATATAATATTGGATCTGATAAAAGGAAAAACTTTTATTTTTAACTTCAATTATCTTATTTGCTTTTTCAGGGATCCAAGCACAAAGGTGATTCCAAACATGTCTGAAGTTTACAATTTTGTACATGTTAACATTTTTTATTTTCACAAGGAAAGTAAGAAAATATACCAAAATATTTCATGCTTCATTTCTAACAACCAATTCCATTAACAAGGGATGATTTTATTTTTTTATTTTTTTTTTTAACCTCATATTAGAAAAAGTCTTAAAAAAATTTTGATGCATTATTTTTAGGTTGTAGAAAACAAATATCAAATGGCACAAATCTTCAGAAAAGCAAAAGTTCTTTATTACTGGAAAGATAAAATATCTGGTCATGTGACCAGTTATGTGCTAAATACAAGTAGTAAGATCATTTTCATACTCATGTCACTCAGATGTTTTCAGCTTGGTCTGACATGAATTTGTCTGTTTTCTATAAGAAAATTTTGCTAACAAATATTGGACATATTCAAATATGAGGCATTTTAAAAAAGAAAAGAAAATGTCTCCCCCCCCCACCTACAGAAAAGTAAAAAATTTGCTGCTTTTTTTCTTTTTTTTTTAAATCACAAATTAATTAGATGTTAAATCCTTCACTCATCATGTTTACTTTGAAAGACAGCGTGTAAAAACTTTTCATAGCACTGAAACATAGCAAAAAAAAAAATAAAAAGATATTTAAAATAATTTTGTCTGGAGTAAGGTTAAAAAAATGATTCTCACCACTGAAACATCAGCGTAAACACCTTTTAAAGAGGAATCTACACATTAACTGTTGTATAATGAAGTATGGTGTTTGACTAGCAAACTTTTTTTTCCTCCATATTCTCAACATACATAAAGGATTGAAGGTCTTTGTTAACAGCAACTGCAGTATCAAAAACAAAAAAACAAAATGAATACAAAATCCATGTTAAAAAAAAATCATTGTCAATTTTTCCATTTTTATCCTTCTCACTGAAAAAAAAATGCAAGACAGAATTGAGCTGGTTTTATGCAAAAAGATAAAGAGCTAATTTCTAAAACTCTAGAAAATGAAAAAGAAGTTTTGAGTGCTGGCTTGGTATGTACAAATAAATATTTACTTGTGATGCTGACCAAATGGCTTACATTTTTGGTTCAAGACCTTTTTTCTATTCTCTGGTGTCTTCTGAGATGTCCCATGAGGAAGGCTAGGCACCAGTTGGTCTTTGACAGCTGCTTCTTGTCTCTGGCAAATTCATTTCTCATGTTCAATTTCCATTCAGTAGTGCAACATTCTCACTCAAATTGTGAAAGGCATGCTGTTATATTCAGAAGAATAAAATTGATTTCAGTTCAATTTTTGCCTTTAGTTTTTATTTTCATGTCACTAACTCACCAATGATACTCATAGTCTTGTGTCAGACTAAAATTAAAGTTGGGCACAACTGTTTTTTTTTTTGTTTTGTTTTTTTTTAATGCTATAGAGCACCAACTATGCATGACTCATCAGTTTAAACATAAAAATGGTGCTTATTGGCTTAATTAGTCAATGAATTCGATTTTTATTAGGTACTTCAGAAATATACCTTGTGCAAGACTTAATTGGTTCATAGATAATCATTTCAGGTAAGGCTCAGAGATCCACACAGCTACAAGCTGTTACTTTAATACCTGATGCCAAATTGGCAAAGTTTCATTACCATGTCTTTACATGTTAGTGCTATGTATATAGAAAACACCTCTTCCCCCAAAAGTATGAAACTATTCATTATAATTGAATGAAAGTATCTTAAAAATATTTTGGGAACAATAAGTAATTAAATATTGATTGGCTACAAGAATTGCCAATTGCAATAACCTTTTGTTTGAAAATAATCTGAGAATAGAAGTTTTTGAGCAGCAAAATTTCAAAAGATCTACCTTGGAGACCAGTAATCAAAATCTGTTTTTTATCTATCTTAGAGAGAATATTTTTTTTTAAATTAATTTAAATTGTATCAGTTTCTTTTAGAGTAGATAAATTGAAAGATGACTACTTTTAGAATAGGTAGCTTTGGCGGGGGTATTTCCATCTCATCTTCCTTAACTAGATTAACTGCAGATCTATTTGAAGGGAACTGATGACAATTGGGAAAAGTAGAATCAAGATACAAAGATAAGTGTGTGAAACAATGTTAACTAATATTCACATGGTTGATCCTCACTAGTTGCATTATGTACTTATAGCCTTGTGTCAGACTAAAATAAATTTTGTAAATGTGTTTCTTGTCACAGAGTAGTGGTTAGAAAGCCAGTCCCGCAGAACATTACAAATGAAATGAGCTTCATTTTCACTGGATGTCGAACTTTTGAATTGCTAATTATTTCATCCCATTTATGTGTGTCTGATTTTGTCGGGCATCTTTAATGAAATATGTATAAAAGAGATTACTGCCTAAATACACACATTCTATATACATATATATGTAAAATTTGTCTGGTAGTCTTGTTTTCTCTGATAAATTATAACATGTTTTCAGCCATATTTGATTTTTTTTATGACTTGTGTCTTCCTGGTATTTGTTGTTCCTCCTATTTGCTCAAATATGTCAAGTAGGTTACTCACTGCTTTCTTTATTTTTGATGCATTCTGTGAGTGTTAAGTTCTCTAAGCATTTTTTCCTTTATCACATGCCCTAAGATCCCAAATCTTTCTGGTAAGAACAGTTTCATTATCTTTGTTCTTAAAGCTTCCTCATTTATCACATGCTCTGTCCATGATATTCTCTACATGAGCTGATAAAACCAGATATTGATTGCTTCAAGTTTTCATTTGTAATGAAACTTTTCAGCATTTATTGCCATGCAGGAACAGTTTTGTTTATTTCTAATGTTATTCTTCAATAACATGTTTAGTTTCTGAAAAACATCTTTCACTACTCCTATGTACTTTTGGATTTCTGTTTTCTATGCTACCAAAGCTAGTTGAATTTTACAACTGCTTAACTGTAAATACATTAACAATGTTTTTTTTATTTTTATTATTTCTGTTGAAAGATTGTAATTTTGATTTAACTCTACTTTTCCACCTCTATTTTTCCATTTGAATTGTTAGATTGCCTCCATAGACAGAATTGGTGAAGTGAACAATTAAATTTTGTTTAAGTGATTCATTCAATGCAGTGAATTTAACTTTTACATCTTTCAAGAAAACAATTTAAGGTCATAAGCAATGGTTGAGTTTCTGTCAAGATAAATATAAATGATATATCTGACAATTGTAACTCTGAAATCCAATACATTAAACAACTTTTGTCTAACAATCTGTCTGTTGATCTATCTATATAGGTATTTACTAAGCTTAGTTTGGCACAAGGCCACAATTTTGGGATACTTTAGTAAAGTTCTGTAGAGTAACTGACAATAATGTTCAACAAACGGAATTGACAAAGTTTCCAATAAAGAAAAAGAACAGGGCAAAAAACTAAGCAAACAATATATATGCAAGGCAAAGCAACAGTAATAAGGCAAAGGGTTCACAAATTAAGAATTGTGTTAACACACAAAAAAGATACAGTCAAGTAATTGTAGAGTTTTAACTGCAAGGAAAGAAAGAACAAAAATATGGTGCATGAGACTGGAAGTGGTTACTACTCAGTCTCATCCACTATATTTTTGTTGGCTAGGAAAAAATTCCAGCATGCATTTGTTGGATTTGTTTATAAATGGGGCAGTAATTCCTACAATGATTGGAACCAACTACCTCTACAGATTTACAAAAATTTAGCTTAATCTGACAAAAGGGTAACAAGTTCAGTGCACCCAATGAGAATCAAACATATTAGACACAATAGTTATTAAAATTTTAGAAACTCCACTATCAACAGCAGAATTCATGGATTTATTGTGTGTGTTCACATGCATGTAATAATTGAGAGCATCACTTCATGCTCAATTTTCAAGAAATACATGATCACTCACTTATATTCCATCGTAATAAGGTGGAAGAGGTGCTTGCTAACTCTTGTTCTACAGATTCTGTGATTGAATAAAATTATGCTGTTCATGTAAAAGTGGATTCACTTTCAAAGGAAAATTGACTTCAAATATAACAATGTGTGCATATACATGTATATAAATATATATCCAGTCAGAACAAACTGGCTGGCTGATTTGAACCACAAATTTTAAAATTGCCTTAAAGACCTTTATTTCAACCAAGTAAGCACCATTAAAATCAGTGTTATTGCTAAGGATCTGTCAATGAATTTGCAAAAACTGCTAGAACGTATTTTTAACATTATCTACACTGATGTACACTTTCTGGTGCATATATGTATCAATGGTTCAGAAAAAGTAGGAGCCAATAACAGGGTCAGTTAATGAGGAGATTTGGGCAGGCCTTGATATTTTTTAAAGTATGAGCTATTGTGTTATCCCACAGCTAGATCTCCTCCTCCCGCCTTTCTATTTGCCAAAATGTTTGTAACTGTTGATGCATCAGTTCCAAATTACAACAATAGGATTGCTCTATTATAGCATCAGCAAACGAAAACCTTTCAGGGTGAAGATTTGCCTTTCAAAATGTTAAATGAGGAGTAAGTTTGTTGATACAACAGAAAACCCATTTTCCAATTCTACAAGAAACTACTTTTCATCACCAGTAAGTGCAAGATAAGAAAAGGATCATTTTGAAACAACCAAGTGTCAAGATCTTAGATGCATCAGTCAGATCAATAGGTCATCAATTCTGCATTATCTTCACTATCAATTTGTGCAAGATGTCCTCCTGTTTTGGAATTAATGATCCAGTCTGATGACTCCAGCTCCTAAACACTAAATCAGGAGGCTTCCAGTAGAACAATCACTGAGTTTTAACTCACAGAGCATAACTTTAAAATTACATTTGTTTATCCTTGCTTTGATACCCTATAAAATAAATAAAAGTAATAAAAAATCCAAGAAAGAGAAGCTGCAGAACTTTAAAACGATGTATGATATAAAAAAAAAAAAAAACTTGGAACTGTTCAGAAGCTTGATGGCTGGGCTAGTATATAGTCATGAGACTTCAACCACTGTGCAGATAGAGCCTTCTAGGCCTGATTGATTTAGAGATTATGTCTCAATAAAAACACCCATCCCTCAGCAGCCTGGCCCCTCATGAGCATGCATCACATAATGACTTAAATTCTTAAAAAAAAAAAAAAAAAGTTGTACAAGTTCTTCAACCTGTTACAAGTGGAAGTAGCATATTTTTCATATACTGTCTGTAAAAAATCTACTAGCTTAGAAAATCAGCATTTAGAATCCTAGTTATTATCCAGGCTTTATAAATAAAAACTATTCATCAATTCAAAAAGATTTATCTATAACAAGGATGCTGTAAAATGTTTAGTATGATTCCAAAATCTTCATTTGTCTGAGAAATTGTTCTTTATAACTTAAGCTGGCACAAGGCCAAATATGTTAAGTGCCTAGTGAGGGACAAACTTTCAATACAATATTTATTAGCCTAAATTGCTGTTGCCCAATAGCAAGATATGCAACTATTCTTGCTTGTTTAAATGAAAAAAAAAAATCAGGCAAAGTGTGTCAATTGATCAAATTCATATTGTTCATTTTTCTTAATTTTCCTTCTCCCTTTGAGTTGTCTATTGCACTTCAAATATCCAGCTGAATAGAATGTAACATTTGTACAGCAAAGCTAAGACATTCAAAGAAAAAAAAACTGGTTTGTTATTCCTCAAAATTTCAATGTGTCCTGTCTGCATAAATTTCCAGAATTAGGCAAACAAGCATTTAAAAAATTAAGATAAAAAGCAATACCAAAAAGTTTAGTAGTGAAAGAAAATTTTTATAATATTGTTGTGTGTGTGTTAAAATGGTTATTTTGCTGAAAATGGAATTGGTGAGCAGAGTTCAAATTGGTTTTTTTTTCTCCAATTTGTACTAATTGGGAGTCATGAATCTTACTTCAGATATGAGTTAAATATCAGAGAAGACTGGGCTCTTTTGCTTGAGTGGTGGCCAGTCGAGAATTAGGAAAACAGATCAAAGCATGACTTTCTCTAGAAGGTCATGTTTAAGTACATGTATTGCTCTTAAGACATAACTCAATGACAATAAAGCAAGAGGAAGGATGTTTGGAGATTTTATTGCACTGTACACCATTTCTGTTAATATTTCTGAAAAGTGTTGCTGGTTCTATATAAGCCTTCACCACTCATCATGTATGACTTGTCTAGTGGTTCACTTCTAAACTGAACTGCCAGGCCCTCATGTTGTAACCCAAAATAAGCATAATTTATCTGTTATATATAAGTCAAAAATTACAATATTATACTTTTGTAAAGGTGAGAGTATTTGTGCATTTTGCCTAAGTTAATTTTACTATGCTGTTCAAGCAGTAAAACACTGGCATAATGGATATGTCATTTGCTTGTTTACGTCCTGGTCAGGATTCACTTGTTAATTTCATACATCTGTTTGCTTTAGCATGATAGAAATTTTGACCAAAAAAAAGAGAAAAAAAATTGTTCATAATATATCTTGAACATTGAACATTGCTAAGCTTAACTCTTAATGAATTCAAAGCCAAATTGAATACTTTTTAATACAAAATATATACACACCTACATGTCAACGGTCATAACATATTTATCTGAATAAGTTATTTAGTTTTGGCACAAGCCCACAGGTAGGGGGAACCCAGTGAGAATCAGACTCACTACTAATAATCCACAAAACCAGCTTACTGATCATTACATCCTGACAAGATGTCCCGTTATGTTATCAACAGAAACAGATTTATTTAAATAAAAAAGAAAACTGATCTGATGCAAAATATTCATGTGTTTTAGTAAAAGGGTGAAAACTTTTCAGTTATTCAGTTTATCCAGTTTTATGTCATGTCTAATAATTTATTTTCTTCTTTTCTGATCACTTCCTTTATGAAGATGCATTCTATTATAATTGTAATAAATTTAATATTACTTAAAGTAAATCACATTTCATTACACATCAACATTTGTTAATGGAAACATTTTTAACTGACTTATTACATAACTTTTTCCTTTTACCTGATAATCCCATAAAATAGTTTTTTGAACACAATTGAGGTCAAGTTTAATTAAATATTTTATTTAATAACCCTATATTTATAAATTGACTATTTTCTATAATTTTGTCAAAAGAATTTTTCTTTTTTTTCATTGAAAAATTATTTTAGCACCAAAAATACTTGAAATGGAACAGATCTCACTATTAAGCTAACCATCCATAAAATTTAGTCCTCAGAGTACTCCATGAACATGGCCTTGTACTTAAATTCGTCCAGAATAAACAAATAACCTGTGACATTTTGCTGTCTTTATACAATGTTTTTTTTTCACCATCCCCCAAAAGTAGAAAACTGATGTCAGTTATCATTTGGTTGGCAATTTGTTCAAAAATTCTTCTATGTGTGTATGCACCATTGCTGGTTGGTCCAATACCACCCAGTGGCCAGACTGAGGAATCAATTTCACTGTTAAGTCTTCTACAAATTTTTTAGAGGCCTTTGCAAGGTCTACTTGGAGGAAAGGATCCTTGCAACCCCAAATCAATAATCCTGGAGTTGTGATCTTAAAGAGGGTAGAGATTTTGCCAGAGAGGAAAATGGATCGGTAGTGGTTTAGGGCCCCTGTCAGTGCACCTGCAAAAGATTAAAGTAATAAAATGGTAAGTGGTAAACATACAAAAAGGTTATAAATAAGTCTTTTTCATAATAAATGATGCAATATGAGTCACAAACAATTAAGATGCTACTGAAAGGAAGAAAAGTCCTGTTTAAATTAGAACATTTAATTAAGGAGAAAAAATGAAACATAACAGTACAATTGTTGACAAGCTTATCTTGCAGGTAAGAATTACAAGCCTAATGAGTTTCATTCTTAAAAAATACTACTATAGCTTTGTACCAGATTAAGCCAAGTTTAGAAAATATCAATGTACTATCAACAGCACAGTGATTAACACCAATGAATGAGTGTCATAGGGGTTTGATCCTCACTGGATTACTGAACTGAAACAAATTTTCATTTCTAAATTTCTTTTATTTACAAGCACAATCACAATACATCATGCAGATAATTCACCACTAAAATGGCCAGTGTTATTAAAAAGTATTAAAGTAAATGGTTAATGATATTGAGGAAAGATTATTTAATGTCAGATGTACTTGACTGAACTTTCAATGTAAAAATCAACTTCAATGATGTTTAAATAAATTTCAAAACAAGTTTCAGTAATTCAGATCTTATAAAGAGTAATGTGAAAGCTTTTTTTCCTGAATTTGTAGACAAACTCAGGGTTGCACAATGGACAAGCTTAGTGTGAAATAACTAATGTTTGATGACTGAAATTTAGACCACTTTCTCAACATAAAAGCTGAAAGCAATTTTTCAAACAAGGTAATTGTCATCATTATTTGACCAAAGAAAACGTGGCTAATGCGATGAGTAAATTGTGGCCATTTTATATTTTTAATTTCGCACATGCATGTTGTTTGTTTTTGATTTTCTTGACTGTGCAGTTTGGCACAGTCTGTGAGAAAAAGAGCACCATGATGTAATTCACTCCGGCAGAAATTTGGAAACAGCATGCTGTACTGCTTAGCATTTACACTGGAAGCTCCAATACAAAGTTTTCAGAGTGTTTGGATGTCAATGTGAGAACAATGCAGAGGATTCAGAGAGTTGGATGAGTCTAATGGTGATTACGAAGGTGTTTAGCGTGATCACTAGTGATGTCGGTGTTATGCATCTATTCATCTTCCCACAGGGCTTCAGATTCAACATGGAGACCTACATCAAGTGTCTTGAGGAGGTAGTGCTGCCCCAAGTCAAGAAGGTGGCTGCTGGAAGACCCTATCTCTGGCAACTGGACTCTGCACCATGCCACACAAGCTGGAGAACCTAGTCATAGCTGTCAGACAATTTCTGCAACCACATCACCCCTTACATCTGGCCACCTAAGTCCGCAGACTGCAACCCCCTTGATTATGTGTATGACACAGTTGAGTGAGAGACCAACAAAACTCTTTGTAATACCAAAGATGAACTGAAGGCAAAGATTATGGCAGCATAAACATCTCCTTAAACATGGAGACCATCCAGAAGAGATGCAGGAGATTCCAAAGACATTTGGAGACCGGCAATGGTGATTTTATTGAATAAATTTACTCTTTAGTATTTCAAGATAATTTTTTTGTAATTTTAGTTAAATATCTGATAAAATGAGATGTCAGTGTTATTTTCATTTTTGTGTAATTTAGATGACAATTTATCCACCTACCCTATACATTAATAATGTTAGGTTTATTACCATCATCTGAACTTTGATCCAGTTTGATCAAAGGAATTTTTAAAGTAAGTCATTACAAAATAATGCAAAGCTATATTAAGGGTATATTAACTGGTCTTGCATAAAAAGTAGAATAGGGGAATAAAGTCACTTTTTTTTTTCATAACAAAACATCCTTGATTTCCACCTTATCAGCATAAGCTATCAATAATGATTAGATTTAGGAGATTGTCAAATCAGATATAAAAAGAAAGTGTCTTATTATCATGGTCAATTTGAAGCCGGATGTTTTAAATAACAATAAATAGTTGATAACATTAAGCAAAAGATATAAAGATTGAAATGATTTACATTCATTGTGATAAACAAATTTACATTATAAAAAATTAATACAAAATTTATTGACTTAAAATTATTTGACTTGTTGGAACTGATAAATTTTTTGGCATTAACTGATTTTGATAACAATAAGTGTTGGAAAACATTATCACTGATTATAACGGCTTCCTTTGTAATCAAATATGTTGGATTTACTGACACATATTTGTTGCCCACAGGTCCAAACTGCAAAATTACCCTTGGCAAAATAGGACACATTCTTGAAGCAACATCAAAAAATAAAAATAAAAAGTTCAAATACATTTTTATTACCTGATTGTTGAAAAGCATATCTGTAACATGCAAGTTGTTGGTCTGTTAGTAAATTAGTCTGTAAACCTGTTGGCCCATTGAAAGTCAAATCTAGAAGCTTCCATGAAAAACTTTGATAAAGTAATTCTGGCAGGAAAGGTAAATGGAAGAAGAGGATTGGACTGAATAAAAAAAAAAAAAAAAAAATGATATGTTCTCATCAGAAAGAAAAAAAAGAAAATCAAACTTTTCAAAGACCAATTAATGTAATCAATTTTAAAGATTCTTTAAAAAAAATCAAAACTAATCAAATGTGAAAAATTCTCGACAAAGATTAATCAAAAAACATTTTAAAAATTCTTTTATTCTTTTAATCCAATGTTCTATTTTTTAAATCTGTAAAATCTTTTGTTGTAAATTTGAATCTATTTTCCAATGTTAATGTTAAGAGATTTCAACTGTTAAGATTAGGTGCCTCCACAAAAAAATCACTGAAAAAAGAGCATATGATGATGAAAAAAATGCCTAAAAATTTTGTTAAAATTTTTTTGATTATTTAATTATATTTTTGAATCCTTTTTAGAACTTTCAAAATTTTGGTTAAAAATCTTGTTTTTCTTGCATAAGCAGATGGACTATAAATTAGCATAGGAAATTTTAGTTTCTTTTTTGAGGTGGAAGACACATTGATTTGGAAAATCTTACAAAAAAAAAAAAAAAAAAAAAGTATCAGATTTTAATGAAATTTTCAGAACTTATTCACAAATGAATGAAATTATTCTAGAAATGGTTGTTTTTAGAAAATCTTGGTAAAAATATCTTGTTACACTCCACTAAATTTTATGAAAATTCAAAAAATTCAATGAGATAATTTTTAGTGACTATTGTAGTCAAAAGCAGAGCTCCTTGGAGAATTTAAATCAATTTTCTTTTGTAAAATCAGAACCTGTCTTACCGAAAATCTGCTCTCAATCATAAAAAAAAAAATAAACATAATAAAACTAACATATTATTTAATTATAAAAGCTTTTGATTGCTTCTATAAATAAGATATATTGAGGACATCATTTTCTCAAGAAAAAAAACATTTTTTTCAATGAATAATGAATAATTACAATTTTTATTAGAATAAATATTAAATCTTTTAATATTCAGTTTCAATGGTGTAAAGATTAGGGAATATTGTTATAAAATAGAACTACATTTACTAATCATAAATTGAAACTGATTACAAGGCCACCCAGTATTTTGAAAAGAATTTTGAATCATTTTTATATGTGTATAAACATGATGATTTTTGTAGATATGAATGTCCATACACAACATTATCAAAAAATGACAGTGATAACTTTAGTAAATTTAAAACCAAAATTCTAAATTCTAAAATTCAATAAAACATTAGATTACAGAGAATATTTTCCTAAACTTTTAAGATTATGGAGTACTTAAAAATTATATATAAAAAAGGCATTCATATTCAATTATTTTAACAGTTTAAATAAACAGCTATTGATGTTTTAAAAAAATGCATTTTTGCAATATCTATTTCAAATCTGATTAATTATACTTTAAATCAGCTAATACTCCTCAAATAAAGTTTCAAAAAGTATATTTTATTTTTGGAGGATTTTTATTAAAGATTGCAGTAAAAGATGACTAAAACAAGGTGCTAATCAGCTATTTTAGAAAAAATAAAATAAAAATAAAAAACCTCCTTTCAATCAATTTAAATTAATTTGAAAATACAGCAAAGTATTTTTCTTATTGGAAATATTAAATTTAATCTATTAGCCTGAAATTAAAACTAAAATAGATGCTTCAAGAAAAATCTTTCATTTTTTAAAATTCACTTTAAACCTTGCGCTTTCTGTGGCAGTACCTAGTTAAAATTATTTTTTTTTTTTTATAGATAAACTAGTTTTTTCTTTACTATTCATCAAATCACATTTAGTCTTTTTAATGTTTGGGATTTTATACTTTTGCAAATGTTAAATTTTGTATAAACATTCTTGATATCAAACAAATTCATAATTCAGTTGGTTTAAACTGTTTGAAAATAAATAATGGAGTTCTGTTGACAAATGAATATAGTAAATAGTCTTTGTTTTTATTTATACTCTTATATTTTCAACAGTTTTTGTTGACTAGAATCAAAGTACTATACAACATATATAAGTTGTTCATATCAACTGATGTCATTAAACGAGCCACATTTTATCCAATGACAAGAAATACTTTATAGACTGAATTAAAAAAATTCAATAATTCACTGACATGAAAAAGAGGAAAATTTGCCAAAAATTATATACACCTAATTAAATAAACTAAATCTCTTACTTTTAGGATGTTCTAATCAAAATCATGCCCCAAATTTTGAGACTTTGAATCCTTTATTTCATATAAACTCAGTAAAGTTTCCATCAGATCATGATTCATCACATAGTCACCATGCAATTAGTGACTTTCAAAAGTATATCAGTACCAAGAAAGCCTTTTCCAAAGGAGTACAAAAGTCATTTAGCCAGAATTTAAACCTTGCTAATTCCACATTCCAATCTGATTAACATGATGCTGCTTTGTGCATCCTAGAAAATTGTTTCAGAGATGGACTGTATTATCAGCTCTTTTTAGAGAGATGAAGGTTTATATTTAGGCAGTCTAAATGAACATTTTGAAACAATACTTGCTGCAAGCCAATGGAGAGTTTATGATATAAAGAGATATTGAGAGAGGCAAACACCTTACATTCAAGTAAAAAAAAGGTTTTAGGGAAGCAGCAAACAAAATGAACATAGCATTGCTTTGTAGTAACAAAATCACTGAAAAATAGGAAAATAGCCTGAGGCTTGTAATGACAAAAGGAAGAAGCTGTCAAAAAACATAACTCTCTACAAAATAAATAAATAAATCACAGATACAACAGAAACATTAAAGTCAATAAGATTGAGGTTATTTTACTTAAAGCCACACAGAAATTGACATTCATATTTTATATTAAACTATAAACCAAAAGAAGAGGTCCCACTCACATCAACAAGAAAGCCTGGAGCCAATTGGCTTTCATGTACTGGACAAGAGCACTTGGATGGCTGCCTTGAATGAAAATCATCTTCTTGACCAGAGATGGATATTCTGTCACTAATTCCCAGAGATACAAACTGCCCACACCTTGACCAATCACAACACAATCTTTATAACCTGAAATTTAAAAAGAGAAAATTTTATTCATTTCCTGGAAGTTTTCTGACTAAAAGAGTTGCTTATTACTCATTGGTGTCAGTGGTTAGTGTTTCAAGCCAAAGTAAAAGGCAGGGGTTATAAGTATTTGATGCAGGCAGGCCATCTGCCTGAAGGGAAAAATAAAAGAACTTGATGTTTGGTCATAACAAGGGAGTGTGTTAGACAGAGTTTTTCATGTGTTTGTGTATATATGTATAAATGTATTGTTTAAAATTTGCTATATTTATAGGGAAAGTACTCAATATCAGAGAGCATTTATAAATAGTGTCTTTAAAATCTTCCAATCAAGACTTGGTCTGATTGCCACATAAAAGCATGAAACTGACAGTCACCATACAGTGTTGATTCCTGTGTCCACATTATATACACACAAACTAATTTTAATATAATAATATTAATGAACTCTTCCATTGATTTTGATGTTTGAGTGTTCATGTCTGGTATGACATTTAAGTCCCACCAGTCTACAAGTTGTGAAAGCATGTGGATTGCAAGATGTGGTTGCTGGTATGGCTGATGATGATGATGACAACTTAGTCCTGGTTCTTACTTCTTTCAGAAGGTCAATCTGACCCGTTTTGTTTTAGCATTTTGACATCAACTTCCCCACGCCTGTCTATCCAGACCCACTGCATTCCTTGTATGAATTCTTTCTGACAATATGGCCAACCTATCAGAGTTGCGGTTACATTAGAAAAGTCTCAATAACACCATTCTTGTACTTGGTAAATAGGTCAATAAGAGTTTAAGTGACTTATCTGGTTAGGCTGCTTAAACCTTTTGTGCCAAAATGCTCATCACAGCCAGATGCATGATAAATTTATTTTATCAAATATCTACCTAACAGTATTAGATTTATTAAACATCTGACTCTAGTGAGCATTTTGATGTGAAACTCTAGAGTCAGCTAACAAGATAAGTTACTTGAACATTTTTGATTTATTAGATATTATAGCTCTAGTACTCGATTGAGTACTTTTTCCCAGTTCTGTTAACCTATATTTTTACATATAATTTTCAGTTGTATTATCGTTATATATATATATATATATATATATATATATATATATATATATATATATATATATATATATATATTACATTAGAACATGTAACTACTACAAAATTGTACATTTTGTTTCGATGTTTATATAAAACGTCTTCTGGTAATTAACAATGATGGTAATAAATGATCTTATTTACAATTGCAATTTATGAAACATCACTTCTTTTTCTGTTTTTGGAAAATTTTCCATACAAGGTAAAAAGGATTTTTATAAAGAAAAAAGAAAGAAAATAAGAAATTAATAAGGTTGAGCACTTTTGCCATTAATTAATGAACATGGATAAAGTTAATTTTGACATTTCGCTGAAAAATATTCCTATCCCAAACAAAGAAGTTAGTCCAAAAGACTGAAGATCTTATACGAAGGATGAGATGGAAGGTGTATTTTTTCATTAAAGACCATGGGGTTCCCAATACAAAGGATTTAAAATGTATGGATTCAAAAATCTGAATACTGCACTTCTTATTGACAAACTTCTTAACTTTGAGAGAGATTTATTTGATATTATCAATAATATTACTTTCCATTACTGAAAAAATAAATTCCAAAAACACTTGAACCCGTTGGTTCAGGATATAATTGAATCAAATTAGGTTTTTGTAAAATCTGATAAAACTTCTAATTTCCATAAACTGGATCATATGGAGTACAAAGCTTTGAAAAAGAGAAATTTAATGAATAACTATAAGTCAACACTGATTATTCTAATTGTATTGATATTATCAACTCTTCAGCTAAACAAATCACTGACAAGTTGAAAATCAGTGATAGGGTTACAAAACTCACTACGAAGGAGGCGTATGTGTTATTAAAAGATCACAAAGCTGAATTTTAATGAAAATTAACCCCTAGAATTATTAATCCAACTAGATCTGAGATTGGTAAAATAAATAATCTTAGAGTCAACTTTCAAATAAAAAAGTGAAGAAGTACTTCTGAAGTGATCAATTGGTTTAAGAACTTCAAAGACAAAAATAATTGTACTTTTATCCAATCGTAGATTTTTATCCATCTATCTTTAAGGACTTTTTTCTACTTAACATTGGAATTCACTGAAATTTATACAGGCATGTTAAAGGATGAAATAAACAATATTTCGAACTGTAGAAAATCAGTCTTAATACACGACAACAATGGATTAAAAATTCGGTTGATAATTTCAATATAACAATAGGATCTTTGGATTCTGCAGTGTCTTCAGACTTAGTTGGACTGTTCTTATTGTACAACCTCAATGCGTATGAAGAGATTGATTTGAATAGTATAGGGCTTTATAGAGATGATGGACTCATGATTGTAAATAAGTCTACTGGAAGTAAGGTTGATAAACTTAGAAAATTAATCCATAGAGTTTTTAAACCTTTTGGTTATTAATAACAGTATAATAGTTAAGAATTCTAATATTAAACAAGTTGATTTCTTAGACATAATGTTAAATTTGTTTTTCAATAATTTTCAACCTTACATGAAAAACAATGCCAACCAGATTTATATCCACTCTAGCTCTAATCACCCACTGTCGGTAATTCAACATATTCCATCATCAGTTGAACAACGTATTAATCAACATTCTTCTAGCAAAGAAAGATTTGAAAAACATAAAACTGTTTATGATAAGGTTCTTAGGGATAGTGGGTTAAGATCTTCTGAAATTAGATTTGTAAAAGATTATGGTTGTTCCAAAAATAAAAATAGAAACAAGATCATGTATACTACTCCATTCAATCAATTAGTTCATGCTAAATTGGGACATAAATTTTTTTAAATTAACTGATAAACGTTTTCCTAAAAATAATTCTTTAAGTAAAATTTTCAATCGAAACGCTCTAAAACTTAGTTATAGTTGTACTAATAATTTAGAGAAAATAATTAAATTACATAACAATAAAATACTGAATTTATATAACAATAATAACCATAATGCTAATGCTGACCTTAATTTGTCCCGTATAAATAACCTTTGCAGTTGTAGAAATCCTAACCAATGCCCTTTATCTAACAAGTGCTTAAGTAAATCCCTTGTGTATATGTGTTCTATTTCATCAGTAGAAAATCCAAGGGTTTCTAAAGTATATATTGGAAGCACAATGAATCAATTTAAAAAGTGTTTTTATAATCATCACTCATCTTTTACTAATGCAGGTAAACGAAATGTGACTTCACTTTCTAAATATTTTCAGAAATTGAAAGAGGAAAATAAAACACCTAAAGTTAAATGGAATATTCTCAAACAAGCTAGATTGGTGAATGAACCATATTTCCTCTGTCTGCAGGAGAAAATGGAAATAATTAAGTTCTTGAACAGTAACATATTATTAAATCAACGATATCAAACTACAGTAAATTGTAAACATATTAAAGAATTACAATCTTACTAAACTTCATAACTCAATAATCACCCCTCTTTTGTTATCTTTATATAAACATTTTAATGTTATCATCAGTGATTTATTCTAGCTTTCATTAGTTAGTATTTGTAAATAACTAGTAGTATGCTTAGCTATGAATTGGCTTATAATTTTTTTTTTCTCTTGCTGTATTGATAATAGTTTCTAATTTAAAATTAATATAAAAATATTAAAAGTTTAAAATTCATTTTATATTCTAATTTATAATGTAAGGTTGGTTTTGTTAGGTATTGTATTGCTTCTTAAAGTGTCCTTTATTTACGTTCTATGGATAATTTTGTTAGAAAAAGATAAAAAAAATGTTCTTTTCTAAGAGATAAAAAGGCAGAAAATTTAAATGTTCACAGCTTGCATTATTGTCAGTATATGAGTATTTCTGTGAGTAAAAAAATTTGTGATAAGTTCACAACGATCGACATCATTATCAAAACATCAACTGAGTGCATATTTTATGCTTTTATCTTTTCCACTTAAGAAATCGCACTTCAGTAGAGTTATCGCCCTTGAACTGTATTTTCGTCTGATTCTACAAGATCGTTCTAAAGAGTTAAAACGAAGCCAATTTTATTTGGAAGGTAAAAAAAAACTAAAAGTTGAGTATTGCTAAAGTTATTTGAAATTAAAACAAAAGAAAGTTCTGCTACTCTGTAAATGTTTTTAAATTCAATAATATCTCAATTTAATTTCAGACCTGGAAGTAATCATTGAATTGTTCTCTGTAACCCTTCATTGGAATGTTAGAGAGGAAATTCAGAAGGTTGATGAATGAAGAGGTAGCTGAAAAGTATGAGTTTTACAAAGTAACAATAGTTTTATGAGCTGAGATGAAAAATAGTTGATTCTATTTTTTTAAATTAAAATCAACTTCACCAGTTATTTTATAACTTATTGACATTTGGAAAAACGTTCATGAAAGTATGTTTTGAAAATAATATCTGATGATATATTTCATCTATATAGCTTCATGTGCTGCTAAGTTATGCTACTATCCTCCAAAGCTCTATACTGAAACAAGGTCAATTGCCAAGATGCTTCTTTATCTTTTGGAAGCAGAGTTCCTTACTAATCCAGAAAAGGAGGAAAGAGATTTAATTTGAAGAATCCCCTTATTCCTTTTGAGTTCAAAATACTTCAGTTTCGAATGAGAGTGAAATATGCAATGTCAATCAATAAGTCACAAGGACAATCATTGAAAGTAAATGGACTTCATCTGATGGAACCCTGCTTTTCTCATGACCAGCTCTATGTTGGTTGTTCAAGGGTTAGGAATGAAAACAAGCTATTTGTACTGACCCCGAATAGGAAAACAAAAAAATGTTGCTTATCATACAGCTTTGCAATAAGTTCCAAATAGACAATTGTTTTGATGAAAACTGTTGTTTGAAAAATATTGTTCAAGTTTAATAAAGTTTAATATGTACTCTATACATGAAGTGCCATTGTTGAGCCAAAGGCCCAATCAAGAACTCTCCACAGTAGCTAG